GACGCGGGGCTCGAACTCACGGACCGCGAGATTGTGACCTGGTTGAAGTCGGACACTCAACCGACTGCGCCACCCAGGCGCCCCACACACACCTTTTTAAAGTAGGCTCCATGCCCACCGCAGAGCCCAACGTGGGGCTTGAACTCATGACCCCGAGATCAAGACCTGAGCTGAGATCAAGAGTCAACGCTTAATTGACTGAGCCATCCAGGCACCCTGGGAAAATTCATTATTTTTATGTTAATTTTTTCCCTTTAGAAGGGCACGTATCTGCCCCCGCTCCACACTTGTATTTTTTCTTGTACTGGGTGGAATTCTATGTCCTAGTGGAAAGCTCAGTGAAAGAGGGGAGTCCTTGCCTTGGTCCTGATTTGAAAAGAAATGCTTCCTATGTCTCATTAGTATATACGGACGCAGGTTTTGGTAAATACTCTTGAACAGGTAGAAGAAGTTCCTTCTGTTCCTAGTTTGCTTCTTAAGAAGTGGGTTTTCTCAGGGTACCCAGCTGGCTCACATGGTGGAGCATGTGACTCTTGATCTTGGGGTTGTGGGGTCGAGTTCTATGTTGGTGTAGAGATTACTAAAAAATAAAAATCTTTAAAAAAAAAAAGTGGGTTTCCTCTTTTTATTTTCTGTAAATCACGAATGAGCGTTGAATTTTATCAGATCTTCTTGCACCTACTGAGATTATGATGCTTTTTCTCCTTTAACCCGCTGGTAAAGCGTAGAATGTATCTTTTCTATTAATCTGTGCACTCCTGGGCAGTCCTACTTGGTCTCGATACGATGGTTTGTTATGAATATTTTGATGACTTTCTAGATCCGATTTCCTGGCTTCTCACTGGGTTATTCCCTCTGTGCTCATGGACAGGACCGGACGGTTACCCTTTTGGTACTGTCCTCCTCTGTCTTGGCAGCAGGATTTACCAAGTGCAGGAAGCAGGCTGAGTGCCCCTACCCTCTGTGTCTTCTCCATCAGTGTGATGCTCGGCTCTCTGATCTCAGATTTTGTATTTCTCAGGGTCGGCTTTAGGGGCCATTCTCTGGGACACTGCCCACTCTAAGTTTTCCGTTCTACTGGCGCAAAATTATTCAGAACATTATGTATTTTAAAACCTTGTAGTTATAGTTGCGTACTCCTGATCACTCGTGACACCTGTCTTTTTTCTTTATCAATCTCTCCAGAATCTGCTTTACCAGACACACACCATGTTCCATTCTGGTGAACATTTCAATTGATTCTTTTAAAAAAGAGTCACTGGTTTTTGCTTTTTTCTTGGTCATTTCCTTCCTTCTCCTTTCTTGGGGTTTATTGTGTTTTTCCTAAATTTTCAAACTGTATTCCTAAGTCAGTGACCACAAGTATGTGGGATGTTCATGATCACTGAATTGTATTGTTTTAAATTTATTTTTATTCACTCATTCATTCATTGAGAGACAGGGAGAGCGAGCGAGCAAGCACCGGGGAGAGGGGCAGAGGGAGAGAGAATATTCAGCAGGCCCCATGCCCAGTGCGGAGCCTGACACGGAGCTTGATCCCACAACCCTGGGATCGTGATCTGAGCCGAAATCAAGAGTGGAACGCTCAACGGACTGAGCCATCCAGGCGCTCCTGCCCAGTAACTTAAATTTTTAACAGTCATTCACATTTGCTGTGATACATCTCAAGTTAATTAATCTCTTTATCTTCCAAAGCGCAAGGCCTTTCCAATGCCTTAACTCGGATCGGCCCGGTCCCGGGCTCCGTGAGTCTCTCCAGGGGATCAGTCCCTCCTTCCACCTGGACCATGTTAGTCACCATCGCGGTGACGGCCACGACCAGCGCTTGCTTGGATGTCGCCCCACATATTCACCGGTCTCGGCGCTCACCTTAGCCTTCTGAACCCCACCCCCGTGTCCCGAGCGCCGTTTCCATCGGCCCGGCGCACAACCTTGGCATTATTTCAGCGGGCGCCTGTGCACAGCAAACGGTCCGGCTCAGACTGCAAACGAGTTGAAGCACACACACTCGCGAGTAACTGCTTCCTCGGGTGAGGACCTCCCTCAGGCCGCAAACGGGACTGATGCTTCGGTGGCGTGTGGGCTGCTCCTCTGAAGGCGGGCTGGGCTCTGGCTGCTTCGTGGACTTCGATGTTGAAACGCTCGCAGGATGTTTTTAAAACCCTGGACTGGGACTTCTTGGGAGTTTCACGTGCTTCGTGGATTCTGGAAAACCCTGCCTTCGTTCCCTCAAATATTGCTTCTTCCCCGTTCTTGCTAATCTTGTGTGAAACTCATACCCCATGGGTGCTCCATTCCTGTGCCACACAACTCCCTTCCAGGCGTGAATTCTCTCCTTAGTGTGGTTATTATGCTGATTCACCTGACTGCTGGCTTCTTGCTTTTAACGGCTATGTTTCTCATTCCTAGCTGTTCTTTTTGGTTCTTTTTCAAACATGACTTGTCTGTTCATACAGTCTTGATATGATTTTAAAGCCGTTTCCTTCTTACCCTGGAAAAGCTCTCACCCTGAAATCAGCCTTTCAGAAGGTTTTTCAGTGAGAAAGTGTTTAAGTCCATTTCTAAATTCTAGCACTGAGATCCAACTGGCCAGGACTCTGGCTGTCCCAGTGTCTGGACGCTGTCTTTGTGAGGAGTGCAGTCCTGACAAGTTCCATTACGACTGGCGTTTCCTGACCTGGGAAGGTGCCCCAGTTCAAGCTTCTTCACTAAACGCGGCCAGTAAATCGTGTCCAGAGTAGACAGGATAGACCAAGTCAGGTAACATCCTTTCTTCCACTTTGAATGCAATTAACTTTCAAACTATAATTATGGTCCAACGTCTCATTCGGGTTTGATTCTAAGTTTGATGTGTGTGCTGGGGCTCTTGCATATATGACATGAATCACTTCTATTATCACAGCAATTTAAAAGAAAACTTTGCCCTAGGAGGACAAGGTTCTGTAAGAGGCAACAGATACACTTGGAAACCATCAACCCTTGCGTGTAAATATCTTGAACCTATAGTCATCAGATTGCTGGCTGGTTTCCCCTAAATAAGGTATTTTGGAAAATAAATAAATGAAGGAAATCAAAGTTTCCAAGTTGCACACTGTTCACCTACTGGGCCAATCTCCCACTAAATGAGATTTCTCTCCATCTCTCCACCTTTGCTGCAGTTGTAGGGAGTCACAGCCTGTCCCTCAACCACCTGAGGCTGGGTTCACCTCTCTGGAACAACTCTATGGCACCTCCCCCTTTTTCCTAACCACCCTCGCCAGGGGATGTGCCCGTCAGGGAGTGCTTTTCAGAAGGTGAAAAGTTTACAGTTTCCAGCTCTGATTTCCACACAACTAGAATTAAGCTTACAATAATACTCTAAGTAATAAAAGTAAATAAGGGAGCCAAATGGAAATTCTAAAGCTTTGTACACATGAGTAACTCGACTTACCATTCTCTTCTCTGAATGTGACAAATACATACAAAATTGAGAGTTGAATACACCCACATCTAAAATACCTCTCTTTAAAACCTGCACAGAGGTCTTTAGGGGCCCTGGTTGGCTCAGTTGGTGAAGCATCCTACTTTGGCTCAGGTCATGATCTCGTGGTTCACAGGTTCGAGCCCCGCGTCGGGCTCTGTGCTGACAGCTCGGAGCCTGG